AAATTGTCCACTTTGCACCTGTCATTCCTTAAGTTTTCCATCAAATTTTGTATTTCTGGTGTCATTACCTTCAAAAAAGGATTCTCTACCATTTTAGATTTTGTTTTTTAAATGCCGGCATTGTGAGCATTTTAAATTTTTGGGCCTCTGACTGAAGGGGTTATGTACAGTACAGGAGGGGTCCCACTTTACAGCATTTCGCTTTAGTGTGTTTTGCTAATACAGTGGACTCTCCCTTTTCATCGATCTCCGTTATCGCCCCTTTACCGTTTTTGCCAACTTTTTTTTTGTCAGAATATTGGTTCTGTTTTTGTTGATTTCCTTTGTTTTCGTCGATGGTATGGAACCTGTCCGGTGCCCAGCGCACAGACAAAGCCACCTCCCACACGCATTTTCAGGCAGTGTCGTCTTGTTTCTCGGTGAGTGAACATATCCTGCGAGGTCATACGAAACATTTTGTAATAATCCGTTGTTTTTGGCACTTGTTTATTGTGTGTGACTTCTAAATAAGCCATCATGGGCCCAAAGAAAGCTCCTAGTGCCAGTCCTTTGGTAAAGAAAGTGAGGAACGTGATAGAATAAAGAAAGAAATCGTAGCAAAGTACCAGAGTGGAGGAGGAAGAGTGGGGAGAATTCTACGATATGTATGATACTAAAGCAGCACGAGTCGATAAAGCCTATAGTGCCAGCCAGCAATAAAGTGTAGCATTAACAGTGTAGCAAGTATGTTAAGCAATTAATCGATAGAAAAAGGGCAGCATGAACCTAACTCCTCCAACATTGTTGAAGTTACATAGGGCTGCTGACAACACCACTGTCTCTGCTGCTGCCTTCACCACCACTATGTACGGCTTATGCTCTCAGTGGCCCTTATACACCCAATGAAATAACACAACGCCTTTTGTGACATACATAATAAAAAATTTTTATTCTAGAGTATTTATCATGTTTCTATGTTATTAATATTGTTTATTATGTCATATTAGATGAATTGTGATAGATAAATAAGCCATGGAGTTGATATTAGTGTTGTGTTGAAGCATATTGTCCAGTCTCCAACAGTAAACTCGCCTCCCTCTCCCCTCCTCCCAGTCTGCCATACACCAACAAGTCTTTAATACAGGTAAGTGTGATGGTAAATGTTCATTTATACATTTTATTAGTGCTTTATATTTGTCATTCTTTTCGACATGTAAATCTATATTTAAGCTAAAAAAAAAATTTTTTGTTAATACTTCTGGGTGTCTGAAACAGATTAATTGGATTTACATTATTTCTTATGGGGAAAATAGTTTCCGTTTTCGCCGATTGCTCTGGAGTGGATTAAACACGAAAACCGAGGGTCCACTGTACAGCGGTTTTCAGTTTACCCATTCTTCATTTATTCAGACTTCCTACAATAAGTATATTCATTGATCACTATCGGCTAAGTATGAAAATATTTTAAGTAAAGTGTGTACTATATGTGCATTTTTTAGGCCTAGCTCTGTTGCTCACTTAATATATAATAGTGCAAACATGTTATCGGGCTTTTGAGTAAAGTTTATTTCTTTGTAAAGGTTACGATGCATAATACAATTTTGATTTGCTAGTACAAAAGCCACTATCATGCCGAGGCATTTCGGGCAAACTAATCCTAATACATAGTAACAAACTAAAACTAGATGAGATAATAGTACATAGTAACTATACTTAAAACTAGACAAGTAATAGTGGTTAGCATTTAAAAGTGAAAAAATGCTAATTTTCACTTTACAGTGGAACCTCAAATTTCGAACTTAATCCGTTCCAGGAGCTAGTTCAAAATTCGAAAAGATTGAAAAGTGAAGCAATGTTTCCCATAAGAAATAATGGAAATACAATTAATACATTCCAGAAACCCAAAAATATTCACAAAAAAATACATTTTATAGAAATTAATTATAGTTTTACATACAACAAATATAGTGTACAATTATGTAGTATTAATAAATTTAAATAAACATATAAAATAACATTTTTACTTACCTTTGTTGAAGATTGATGATGGCATCTGGAAGATAGGGAGGAGGAGAGGGAGAGTTGGGGTTAGTGTTTGGAAGGGGAATCCCCTTCAACTTCCTTGCCTTTTCACAAATAATCGTCTCTGAAACACTATCACCTGCCATCTCTCTATCCTTGATCCACACCAGCAACAACTTCTTATTCTGTTCAATTGTCTGTGGTCGTTTTTTTGGTTAGCATATTAACACCTTTTGCAACATCAGCTTCCTTGATTTGTTCTTTCTTTGCCAGGATAGAAGCAATGGTCGACTTGTTTTTCCCATACATCCTGGCAAGCTCAACAAGTTTCACACCACTCTCATACTTCTGTATTATTTCCTTCTTCACATCTATGGTGTTTCTCACTTTCTTTACCACAGGGGTGCCACTAGCAAGTTTCTTTGGGCCCATGGTAGCTTATTTCACAGTCCCACAAGCACTAAACACAATGAATTAATTGTAAAATGTTTGAATGAGACTGCAGGTTAGTGTTCACTCAAGCATCAACAAAGCCAAACTGGCTCAAGGCACCTGCAAGGGGATGCGGATAGAGCGGGCTGGCGGACAGGCCCAGTATCCGGCGGTTCGAAAATAGGGCGAGTTCGATAATAGGGACAAAGTTGGTTCGAAAAAAGCGGTTGATTTTCGAAGAGTTCGATAAGCAATAGGTTAAAATTTTAGGTTCCACTGTACAGTGATTTTCGCTTTACAGTGATAGCCTGAAACCTAACCTGTTGTATAAGCAGGGCTCTTCTGTATAGTATTTGGTTTCACTAAAATTATATTGCAATTGCAGAGGTGTGTCAAACTAGGCCAGCTGTACTTCTGGTGACAATTTTGGCAGTGTCTATTTTCTCTGATTTTGTGTGTGTGTGTGTGTGTGTGTGTGTGTGTCGTGTGTTGTGTGTGTGTGTGTGGTGGTGTGTGTGTGTGTGTGTGTGTGTGTGTGTGTGTGTAGAGACAGACAGACAGAGACACAGACTGACTGACTGAGACTGACTGAGACTGACTGACTGAGACTGACTGACTGACTGACTGAGACTGACTGACTGACTGACTGACTGAGACTGACTGACTGACTGAGACTGACTGACTGACTGAGACTGACTGACTGACTGACTGACTGACTGACTGACGGACTGAGACTGACTGACGGACTGAGACTGACTGACGGACTGAGACTGACTGACGGACTGAGACTGACTGACGGACTGAGACTGACTGACTGACTGAGACTGACTGACTGACTGAGACTGACTGAGACTGACTGAGACTGACTGAGACTGACTGAGACTGACTGAGACTGACTGAGACTGACTGAGACTGACTGAGACTGACTGAGACTGACTGAGACTGACTGGACGACTGACTGATGACTGAGACTGACTGACTGGACTGAGACTGACTGAGACTGACTGAGACTGACTGACTGACTGACTGAGACTGACTGACTGACTGACTGAGACTGACTGACTGACTGAGACTGACTGACTGACTGAGACTGACTGACTGACTGACTGAGACTGACTGACTGACTGAGACTGACTGACTGACTGAGACTGACTGAGACTGACTGACTGACGAGAACTGACTGACGACTGAGACTGACTGACTGACTGAGACTGACTGACTGACTGAGACTGACTGACAGACTGAGACTGACTGACAGACTGAGACTGACTGACAGACTGAGACTGACTGACAGACTGAGACTGACTGACAGACTGAGACTGACTGACAGACTGAGACTGACTGACAGACTGAGACTGACTGACAGACTGAGACTGACTGACAGACTGAGACTGACTGACTGACTGACTGAGACTGACTGACTGACAGACTGAGACTGACTGACTGACAGACTGAGACTGACTGACTGACAGACTGAGACTGACTGAGACTGACGACTGAGACTGACTGACTAGACTGAGACTGACTGACTGGACTGACTGAGACTGACTGACTGATGACTAGTGACTGAGACTGACTGACTGACTAGACTGAGACTGTACGACTGACTGACTGACTGAGACTGATGACTGACTGACTGACTGACGATGACTGACTGATGACTGACTGACTGACTGAGACTGACTGACTGACTGACTGACTGACTGACTGAGATGACTGACTGACTGACTGAGACTGACTGACTGACTGACTGAGACTGACTGACTGACTGACTGAGACTGACTGACTGACTGACTGACTGACTGACTGAGACTGACTGACTGACTGAGACTGACTGACTGACTGACTGAGACTGACTGACTGACTGACTGACTGAGACTGACTGAGATTGACTGACTGACTGACTGAGACTGACTGAGATTGACTGACTGACGACTGAGACTGACTGAGAATGAACTGACTGCTACTGACTGAATGATGACGATTTTACTGACTTAGACTGGCTACTGAGTGTGCTGACTGACTATTGACTGACTAATGCTGACTAGACTGCTGACTGATACACTGGCTGTACTGAGTACTGCTACTGACTGACTGGCTACTAGATCTGCTGATGACTGAATGTGATGAGCCTGAATGACTGTAGTACCTACTAGTACTTTTTATTGATGACTTTAAAACATTGGCTTCTGTTTTATTTTGTAATCCTATTTAGTCTGATACATTTTTACATCGTATGTTAAATGCTGACAGAAATTGTATGCTGAGTTTGCATCCTCTTTAGTATGTTTATTTTATTTTCACTTAAATTTATTTGACTTCATGATAAATATAGTTCAAATTGATAAATTTTTACTTGTTTACTATATTAAAAATTGCTTTTTATGATTAGTTGTGTTGTCCATATTGCTTAGTCTTGTTACAAATAATTTTTAATACTTTTATTTTCCAAGTTACTGTAACAAGAAATTTGATTGCCTGGTGCTAATTATAACCTTAACGAGTAACTTTTTTTTTGTATACTTAACTGCATCTTAACTATTGACATTTTCATGCCATATTCTCAGGAAGTCATATGACCATAATTATGAAGTGAGTGATAACATGGCAGTCAGGGAACATTGCTAAAGCATGAGACCCAGGAATATGGCTAAGAGAATAAATAAGCGACCATATGTGGCAGTCAATTCACCATGGATAAAACGGTGAAATACACAGAAGTCGTTTGAGCACGTTGATTTTTCACAAGAGGAATTCAAAAGCAAGAGAGGTGTGCGCCTGTGTGCCGTTCCTGGATGAAGATGATGCTGCAGCGAGTGGGAGGGGGAGGGGACCTGTGGTGTCCCCCCACACACCCACCCATACCATGCTCACCATGCATTCACCCCTACCCCCCATATTGGACAATTGGCAGGTATTACTGAAACTTTTTGAGAGAGCACAGTCAGCATTACTGGTAGTGCCTATTTGCTTATTTGCACTGTGTACTGTTACCTATGGTTGCGGGCTCATCAATGCTCACTAGCCCTTAACAGTTGGTGGCGGGAACTACCAGGTACTAAAATTGCTTCAGAGATTCTCATAAACTTGCTACTTGCACAGTTGTATAATAAGAAACATGGCACCATATTAAATTACAATACGGTATTGACCACTAACATATTTTTCATTTACTGTGTTTGTAAAAATATTTCTAAGATTAACCCTTTGACTGTCGCGGCCGTATATATACGTCTTACGAGGTACCGTGTTTGACGTATATATACTCATAAATTCTAGCGGCTTCAAATCAAGCATGAGAAAGCTGGTAGGCCCACATGTGAGAGAATGGGTCTGTGTGGTCAGTGTGTGCCATATAAAAAAAATCCTGGAGCACGCAGTGCGTAATGAGAAAAAAAAAACTCCGACCGTTTTTTTTTTTTAATTAAAATGCCGACTTTGTGGTCTATTTTCGTATAGTATTTATGGTTGTATTCTCTTTTTCTTGGTCTCATTTGATAGAATGGAAAGCGTATTATAGAAATTGAGGTGATTTTCGTTGATTTTACTATAAAAAGAACTTAGAAATGGAGCTCAAAGTAGGGGAAATGTTTGATTTTTGCCAATGTTCAAAAGTAAACAAATGATGCCGTTGTCCAATAAATGTCCAACTAGCCATTCTAATATGCAGTCATGAATGAGTTGATGTTATTTATACAATTATTACAGTATTGCAGTAGTCTGCATAATAGTAAGTCTTCTATTTTTTGTTTGAATAAAAATTCAAAATAGAAAGCAAGAGTAATATCAGAGGGGCCTGGAGACATGACTGATGAGCAAAGAAAATGTTATTTTAGAGCCAGGAATGTCTGCATTGTTCATTCTGGACCTTATTTTGAAATTGTCATATTTTTTAGTTTTCGTGAAATTGGCCAAATTGCAAATTTCTGACCACATTATTAGGTGGTTGAAATCGGTAAATGGGCAGTTTCTTGAACTCAGTCGATAGAAAAAATGGAGTTCTAAAGAAATAGCTATGAGTTAGGGCAACTGGAACAATGGAATTAGCCGAAAATAGGGCTGAAAGTGGGCGAAATCGCCGATTTGTAAACAACGCCGAGGTCGCTAACTTCGCGAGAGCATAATTCCGTCAGTTTTCCATCAAATTTCGTTTTTTTGGTGTCATTACAATCGGGAAAAGATTCTCTATCATTTCATAAGATTTTTTTTTTTTTTTTTTAAATTTTGCGACACCAGGAGACACCTCAGGATTGGGGGTTGCGACAGTCAAAGGGTTAATGAAGTTTTAAAAATACGAAGAAGCTGAATAAAAAACTAGAACTTTGAGAAATATAGACAGTGTGAGTACATTATGAAAGAGACTTTTGAAATTCTGTACCAGATACTGGCAACTGATTATATACTGGGTAAATTAATTTTTAATTCAAATTTGATTTAATATGAAGAAATTGTGGAGAAAAAATGGGTTTAGATATTGTAGGACCTTCAGAAAACTAAACCATAATATAGGCAAGAAAAACTGGTATCCGCTAGGAAAACAGTAAAGGTTGAAAATCTCGGCATCACTGCCAAGGCAACAGAATTATGATGTAATAACTACAGAGCATAAAGTATTGAAAGAAAGTTTCATGGCAAGATTCCCATGAAAGAGAAATCAAAAGCTTTAAAAGCTACACAAAGTATAATTTACAATGTAAATCAATATAAAATTAACCTTATGCATTAACAGAATAGATCCCCTAACAATTAATCATCTTTATAAATAAAATTAATCCACTGTATAAAAATTAATACAATAAACAAAAGTAATTCATTGTATAAACAAAATTAATTCATTGTATAACACAAACCACTATGTAAGGAATCATACATCTCACCTGAACTTCTTCCTCCCTTAGTTTATACACTTTCACCTCTCTCTTATTTGTTGTTGGGAAAAAAGGAAAATGGCAAGAAGAGAGAGGTGAAAGTGTATAAACTAAGGGAGGAAGAAGTTCGGGTGAGATATAAGCAACTATTGGCAGAAAGGTGGGCTAGTGCAAGTATGAGTAGTGGGTGGGTTGAAGAGGGTTGGAATAGTTTTAAAAATGCAATATTAGAATGTGGGGCAGAAGTTTGTGGCTATAGGAAGGTGGGTGCAGGAGGAAAGAGGAGTGATTGGTGGAATGATGAAGTAAAGGGTGTGATAAAAGAGATAAAGGTAGCTTATGAGAGGTTTTCACAAAGCAGTAGTGTTATAAGAAGAGAAGAGTATATGCATAGTAAAAGAAAGGTGAAGAGAGTGGTGAGTGTGTGTAAAAGGAGAGCAGATGATAGTGGGAGAGGCACTGTCAAAAAATTTTAATGAAAATAAGAAAAATTTTTGGAGTGAGATAAAAAAGTTAAGAAAGCCTAGGGAAGGAATGGATTTGTCAGTTGAAAACAGAGTAGGGGAGTTAGTAGATGGGGAGATGGAGGTATTGGGTAGATGGCGAGAATACTTTGAGGAACTTTTAAATGTTGACGAAGAAAGGGAGGTGGTTATTTCATACACTGGCCAGGGAGGTATACCATCTTTTAGGAGTGAAGAAGAGCAGGATGTGAGTGTGGGGGAGGTGCGTGAGACATTACATAGAATGAAAGGGGGTAAAGCAGCTGGAGCTGATAGGATCATGACAAATTTTAAAAGCAGGGGGGGGATATAGTGTTAGTGGTTGGTATTTTTGTTTAATAAATGTATGAAAGAGGGGAAGATACCTAGGGATTGGCAGAGAGCATGTATAATTCCTTAATATAAAGGGAAGGGGGACAAAAGAGATTGTAAAAATTATAGAGGAATAAGTTTACTGAGTATACCAGGAAAAGTGTATGGTATTGAAAGAATTATTGAAAGAATGTAGGATTGTGGATGAGCAAGAAGGTTTTAGAGTGGGTAGGGGATGTGTAGATCAAGTGTTTACATTGAAGCATATATGTGAACAGTATTTAGATAAAGGTAGGGAAGTTTTTATTGCATTTATGGATTTAGAAAAGGCATATGATAGTGGATAGGGGAGCAATGTGGCAGATGTTTCAAGTATATGGAATAGGTAATAAGTTACTAAATGCTGTAAAGAGTTTTTATAAGGATAGTGAGGCTCAGGTTAGGGTGTGTAGAAGAGAGGGAGACTACTTCCCGGTGAAGCTGGGTCTTAGACAAGGATGTGTAATGTCACCATGGTTGTTTAATATACTTATAGATGGGGTTGTAAAAGAAGTAAATGCTAGGGTGTTTGGGAGAGGGATAGGATTAAATTATGGGGAATCAAATACAAAATGGGAATTGACACAGTTACTTTTTGCTGATGATGCTGTGCTTATGGGAGATTCTAAAGAAAAGTTGCAAAGGTTAGTGGACGAGTTTTGGAGTGTGTGTAAAGGTAGAAAGTTGAAAGTGAACATAGAAAAGAGTAAGGTGATGAGGGTATCAAATGATTTAGATAAAGAAAAATTGGATATCAAATTGGGGAGGAGGAGTATGGAAGAAGTGAATGTTTTCAGATATTTGGGAATTGACGTGTCAGCAGATAGATGTATGAAGGATGAGGTTAACCACAGAGTTGATGAAAGAAGGAAGGTGGGTGGTGCATTGATGTATATGTGGAGACAAAAAACATTATCTATGGAGGCAAAGAAGGGAATATATGGAAGTATAGTGGTACCAACACTCTTATGTGGGTGTAAAGCTGGGGTTGTAAATGCTGTAACGAGGAGGTGGTTGGAGGCGGTGGAGATGTCCTGTCTAAGGGCAGTGTGTGGTGTAAATATTATGCAGAGAATTCGGAGTGTGGGAATTAGGAGAAGGTGTTGAGTTAATAAAAGCATTAGTCAGAGGGCTGAAGAGGGATTGTTGAGGTGGTTTGGTCATTTAGAGAGAATGGATCAAAGTAGAATGACATGGAGAGCATATAAATCTGTAGGGGAAGAAAGGAAGGCAGGGTAGGGGTTGTCCTTGAAAAGGTTAGAGGGAGGGGGTAAAGGAGGTTTTGTGGGCAAGGGGCTTGGAGTTCCAGCAAGCATGCGTGAGCGTGTTAGGAGTGAATGGAGACGAATGGTATACGGGACCTGACGAGCTGTTGGAGTGTGAGCAGGGTGATATTTAGCGAAGGAATTCAGGGAAACTGGTTATTTTTATATAGCCGGAGTTGAGTACTGGAAATGGGAAGTACAGTGCCTGCACTTTAAAGGAGGGGTTTGGGATATTGGCAGTTTGGAGGGATATGTTGTGTATCTTTATACGTGTATGCTTCTAAACTGTTGTGTTCTGGGCACCTCTGCAAAAACAGTGATTATGTATGAGTGAGGCGAGTGTTGAATGATGATGAAAGTATTTTCTTCTTGGGGATTTTTTCTTTTTGGGTCACCCTGCCTCAGTGGGAGATGGCCAACTTGTTAAAAAAAAAAAAAAAAAAAATGATAAGGAATCATGCATACAGTGATTGAAAGCCTTGAATGTACATTTGAAGGATGTAGAATGAAGGAGATAGGCATGAAGTATTTATATCTTAGAGTCTAAACAATGTAAATATTAATAGGGTACTAACCGAGAAAAGCTCTGAATAATGAATTCACTTTAGGTAAATTGAAATTTTAGAGAGAATATAGGGAAGGGCTGGTTTAGCAGATAAGTTGTAAAGTAGTGGAACAATTGGGTTGCCAAGCATATTCATTGAAGCTGACAACTTCTTAGCTTTAAAAATAGGCTAAGCAAATTCAGTACAGTGGTCCGTTGAGTTATGATATTGACTATTGTAACTCAAATCCCAAAATACATGGTTTTATGATATTTAATTGCAAGAACTCAGATGTATGATTTTTACTGTACCTTGGACTTGCACACTCACAAACATAACTTTCAGGCACTGTATCTCCCTTTCACCTGCTTCTCTTGTCCAC